CAACCGAACGTTAACATGCCCCACCCCACCCCACCCCACCCCCCACCCCATTCCCACACGTAGCATCCACATCCCCCTCAAGCAAACATGCAAAAACGACAGCGTAGAAAACAAAAAATCAAGAAAAATGCAAGAAAACACCACGGCCGTCTATCAGCCGTGGGCCAACTACCAACTACCAATCCTTTTGTGATAAATAGTACACAGTGCTTTTGAATACTCTATACATATAGTGTGATAGTGCATGTATATATATATACATATATAGGGTATGTGTATGTATATAGTATATACATATAGTGTGATTGTGTATAATATATATATATACATATATATATATATATAGTATGTGTATATATAGTGTATAGTGTATTATGTATATATTGTAACCTACGTATGTTACGTGATATTTGTGCTTCGATTGACTGGTAGTTCAACTCATCTCAACCCCAAAGTTTGGACCGCAAAAGGCCCCTCTGCCCCTGTGCCTTCGCATCTCTTAAGCAGGTTCTTCCACCGCTCCTGATCCTTCACCCCTCTTGCCACGTTTACTGTGATGCCACGAAGCCTCGCCCACACTCTGACACTCTGACACTTGTATTCCGTTAATGCAAGTTCACGATGGGAAGGAAGGTGATGGAACGGTAAGGCGAAAAAGTCCGCTGAGAAGTATTGTTGAACATTGTTCACTCAAAACAGTTGCGAGACGATCAAGATGGCGGCGCAGCTGCTGGGGAAGAAGAAAGGTTTGCGGGAAGGTATCATGTGAAACCACCATGAATCAAAAAGCGGATCAGGAGGGTAACAGCTTGTGAAGCACTCTGCAGGTACATGGTTGAGCGTCCTCAACCACTTCCCTTCCAGTGACCCAGCTTCGTTGGATCAGGTTAGTCACTGGAAGCCTGATCCCCCTGCTTGCGAAAGGTGGTGGTGGAAAACCCTTTGTCCAGGGGTGGACACACACAAGTCGCCGCGTTCGGCGCTTTTTCAAAAATCGGTGGCAGGCGTGATAGTTATGCCCCTTTTGGACATATAGGTTCACGAGTTCAGCCGCAGCAGCTTCAGCGCTAGAAGGTGGAAATGTGTATTTTCGAATGGTGTGGAGTCGTGATTGGAGGCCTGATAGAGCCAAGCGCTGGCTCCCGGCGGTGGTGGAGTCCCGGATTTTCCAGGGTTGGGAAGGTTGCATGTAGGTGATGGTGCGTTGTGGGAGGTCGATGTTGAAACCGAGGAGATGAAAATCCTCCACCGGTTCGAGTTCCACTGGGTCGCCAAAGAAATTGTGGTGGATGAGGGTTTGGATAGCCGGGTGTTGAAGGAAATGTTCGTTATAAACAATGAAGCGGTTGTCAACATATCGATAGTAAGTAAAGTGGAGGTCTGTGTGTTGAAGGAGGAGACTGTGTTCTTTTTTGGTCATCACACGATGTGTGAGAGTGGTGTGGGGTGAAACTATGAGCTACTGCGGCGTGAATTGAGCTCGGCCGCGGCTGCAGCTGCGGCTTGGCGCGCAATCCGCAGGATGGTCTGTTGGAGCATAGCCGCTTGCTGCTCTGTTAGCGGTGCGTCTGGAATAGGAGGCACTGGTGGGAATACTGTGGTGGTATTGGTGGTAGTGGTTGGGTGGAAGTGAGTTGGCGGCGCGGGACGTGATGTGGCTGGTCGTCGAGTGGAATGTGCTGTGGGATTGAGGTAGTGTTTGATGTCAGTGGAAAAGTTGAAGGGTAGTAGTTGGCCGTTCCGGTGAGGACGTGGAATGGTGACCTGTAAGGGGATGCGTGTAGGTGTTGCTGAATGTGGAGCGCGATAGAATTGTGGGGGGCTCACCCAGGTGGTATTGATGGGTGGGTGCCCCGGACGTGCTTTGGGTAGAATGGGAACATTGCTGGTGAGGATGACAGGGTCCTCAGCGCTGGTAGAGGATGTGGTAGATGGTGGTGTAGGTGGTGCCGTGGGATGCGGAAGTGTGGCTGTAGGCTGTGTTGGTGTTGTTTTGGGGTTTGTCTGTGGTGTGTTGCGTGTGGACAGGTTCCGGTAAGATGTGTGGGAAACTGGGGGAGCTTTTGCAGGAGGTGATGTGGATGTGGTGGAGGTTTTGTCCGGTACAGTGCTGACTGGAGGGCAAAGCATGGGAGTATGCTGTGGGGAATCCTCCTCCTTTTTCGTGAGTTCCAACTTGGTGTCGTTGGTAGAGGGTTCGACGGCCTCTGCCTTGGTGAGGTGTGGTGCCTCATCTTTCACTTCGATAGACTCTGTAGGAGTGCGATCCCAGTCGGGAGAGTCGTAATCCATGGGGTGGTGAGAGAGCGAAGTGGGATGTATGAAGCGGCCCGTCGAGAGTTCAAATGGCTGCGGAGAAAAATGTGTGACTGCTGGGCAATAAGATGGAGAGTGTGAGGATAACAAATTGGACGGGTTTTTTCTCTGAGCAAAGCGTAGTGTGTGAGACAAAGCGTTGTCCGGGCAGCCTCAGGGGGAGGATGACGGCGTGTCAGCAGGCAGGTGGTAAGCTGCTGAAGAAGTGGAACTGGAATTGGAAGCCGTCCAAAGTGCTTGATGCAGGTGTCCGCGGTGGCCGTGAGCTGCAGAAGGTCGGTCTGGGAGTGTCTGGTGTCGATGGGTTGTGTGGTTTGGCTGTGAGAGTGTGGTGAGGGGAAGGCGATCTCGGGAACGAGACCTGTCTCTGCAACTGAAGCGGCGAATGAGCGGTGTTGTGTTGATGGGTGACGGTATGGCTGGGTCACGTTGGAAGGTGGCTACGGAGAGGAAGTTGGTTTGCTGTGGTGGGATGTCAAGGGTGGGGTCAATGCGGTAGTGGCCAGGGGAACCTGGTGAGCCAGGAAGGAATTGCAGCCTGTTGAGTCCACGTCGGGCGTCGTGGGCGGTGTTGATCAAGTGTCGGAGGGTATTGCGTATCTGCAGAAAAAGTCTGTAGGCTGGTGTGTTGGTCAATGTAGACATTGGGGGGATGGGATCTTGCACAATGGGGTGATGTTGGAGATCCTCGACGAGTGAGGCTATAGTGCTGACCATCCAGTGGAGCAAGAGTAATTCTGGTTGGTGTGTCACGGATGGAGCCAAATATGGCATGGGATTGTTCGGTAAGGAGTAACTGTGGTGTGTAGTGGGTGGGTCAGGGGATAAGGTGGTTGTCGCTGAATGATGAGGTAGTGGAGTTCGTGGATCATCACGGGGCATCATGTCGGAGCAAGGACGAGCGGTTATGAAGAAATAGTTCGGTCAAATGGCTGCGGAACATATGGTGGCATGGAATTGTGGAAAAACCATCAAGCAGTGTGAGTGTGAAAAATGGTAAATCGGTGAGATGGTTGAATTTTGCCGCTCGCCGAAAAACTCAGTGAGACTTGAAAAACGAAATGTAGCAGCAGCCGTGGGCAGGGATGCCGTCTCAGAGTTAGCAAGTTGCATGGCGGCCGCTGCAGAGTCTGGGTTGGGATGTTGCTGCAGTGCTCGATGTTGTAGTTAGCCACTGCGGTGTGGGAGGTTGTCGCGGGAGCGTGAACGTTCTCGGGTGTGAGTGGCAATGTTGATGTTGGTGGCCGGGGTAGCTTGTGGTGGGGGGCCTGTCCAGTGAGAGTGTAGACGTTCTGCGTCTTGTGGTGGGGTACGTGGCGAAGGAGAGGGTGAACGGCTGGAAAGTCCGGGTGGTAGTGGAAAACCTGGCGGTATGTCGTGTAGAATGGCCAGGTTTCTGCTGGAGAGTGAGGCTGTGGGGTTGATGCGGTATTGTCCTGGGAGCCCTGGGCCGGTGGTAACAAATTGAAGGAGCCGGCGAGCCTGGGAGAGGTTATCGATCAGGCGGTCCAGCAAGATCAGGTCACCGCGCATGCGGTAAAGGAGGTTGTATGCTCTTTGGTCTTGAAAATACGTCTGGCTTGGCATAGGTTCAGTGTGAAATGGGTGATGGCGGAGGTGTTGGTTGACCATAACAAGAAGGTCCAGAGAGCTGTTGAGGGAGTGAAAGTCAGGCTGAGTGCAAATCGAAGGTTGGAGCCAGCTCGGAGGGCGCTGTGGCAGGTAGTGTTCTGTGTCGGCGGTGTTGCCATGGGGGCGAGCGCGAGGATTGGCCATGACGATTGGTACAGTAAAGTAGGACAAAATGGCGCACAAAAAGCTGCGGAGCTAGAGTGAGCCTGAAAACTGAAAGACCGAAGTTGTGCAAACTCAGTGAAAGTAGGCTGGGCGTGAAAAACAAATTGTCAGTGCATGTCAATGGATTTGTCCTGCGGCACGCCGTAGAGAAAGCTGGGTGAAACGGGTCATATGAAATAACTGCCAACTGGCGTAAGTGGAGATTTCTCCGGGTGACTGTTCTCACTAAGTTCTCGCTCAGCGGCCGGCGGCAGCGGCACAGCAGCAGGAAGGGATCGATGTGGTGAGGTCGGTGGCGTTGTTTTGGGGGAAGGGGAAAAATCCGGTTGTGAATGTGGTGCTGGGGAAACTGCTGGTGAGGTGGGTGTTGGTGAGAGGGAAGGTGTTTGTCGTGGTGGTTCTGTTGGTAGTGGTGTGGAGGAAAGTTGCTGGTCTTGCTGACGTTGCATGTCTTTGAGTTCTTGCCATCGGGCTTGGCATTGCTCGACGGAGAAGCCCACTCGGCGAGCCACAGTGGTCCAGTTGGGACGAAGTCGGGGGTTTTCTTTGAGTTCGACCAGGCGGCAATCGGCGTCGCCGTCCCAAGCGTCCCAGTCCGCTTGTTGGTTCAGTGGTGGTGGGAGTGGTTGCTTCCGCTTGCGTGTTGTGGTAGGTTGTGGAGCTGGGGGTGTTGTTGGTGTGTCGTCTGAGTCTTTCGAGAGTGGCGCTGGTAGACGGGTGGGTGGTCTGGATGGTGCTGAGTCACAGGAGGAGGTGGTGGATGGTAAACGTATAGGGTGGATAGGCGGAGTTGGGAGTGGCTGAAAGTGTTGGCGGAAAGTGGGATCCGCTTGGTGGATGTGGTGGAGGAAATGAGTGTGAAGGTGTGCTACAATATCCGTTGCTTGTCTGAGCAGGTTTTGTACCTGCGAAAGTACCACTGTGGTTCTGTGTGTGAGAGTTGAGGTGTCGTTGTGTAGCGGCGTCGGTGCGCTGCTCATGATTTGGAGATGTAGGGATGTACAGTAGCACAGAGTCGTCACGGGTTGCTGCGGCAGCGCGCCAAAGCAGCAGGACAGCAGCTGGTCTGCGGGAGCGCGTCATCACGTGGCCGTGCATATGAATTAAACGAGCATCAAATTCCCACGGGCATGGTGCGAAAACGCAATTCAGGTTGAACAATCAAGTGCATGAAACTCTGACATGTGAAATACTGCATCAAAACAGCTGGTACGATTCGGAGAAAGACGTTTACAGCAAACCTGCAGAGCTTGAAAAATTGAAGGTTCAAAATTCATGTGGCCGCTGCAGGAGGCTCTTTTTGGCTGCTACGAGCAAGGGTTACGTGGTGGTGTGAGACAAAAGGTGGATGTGGAGGTGGTAGTGGTGTGTAGGTGTTGGACAGTGGTGTTATGTGTCTGGTGGAGTGGAGTTTGTGGACCAGGCCAGTCCTTTGACAATGGCATGGTCCGGGTGGATCACCCAGCAGCGGCCCTTCTGGTGGAAGACTGCACCGTGGTGATCGTTAAGGAGGTTCATGGCGTGTTCCTCACCTCCGGAGGTATATTTTGTGGCGGCACCCCAAGCAAGGAGTGTGATGATAAGGGAATGGGAGTTCTTGTGGAGTTGCCAGGTGTTGTGGATGATGCGGGCAAATTCGTTGTGATCATGGGGTTGGTTGTGGGTGATGCGGACGCCCTGGGCAAAAAATCCAGGGTAGTTGGCAAAGTGAAGTGTGCTGGGTAGAAATCGACCTTGGCGTAGAATGTTGGAAATGTTGCCGACGGGGCCTGTGTGGCCTGCGTTGATGTGGGCGACTTCCCGATGGGTTGATGTGGCTCGGGAGACCGCAGGCGGTTCTGGTGAAGTGGCTTTTGTGTTGAGAAAAGGAAGTGAAATGGCGTAGTATTGGAATTGGTCGTATTGGTGAGTTGTGTCGTTCCATTTAGCGTGAGTATATTGCCGGAAATCAGTGATCTCCTTGTAGGTGATGTTGCAGTCTGTGAGGAGATTGGCAATGTACTGGTGCTGTGGTCTGTTGGGGTTGTCGAGTTGGGCGGCGTGGAATTCGAGCCATTCCAGGATTTGGTCCGCAGGTGAAAATGTGTGGAAGTTGGGTGGAGGTCGCCAACGGTTGATTGGGCGACGAAGGACGGCTGTGGTAGGAAATTGAGAGGGGTCTGGGTTGGTGTGTTCAGTGTTGGGGCGTAAATCGATGGGTTGTGGTGGTGAGCGACTGCGGGATGGTGTAAGGCTGGATGTGTAAGTGGGTGTCGAGGGTGAGCGGCGTCGCCGGGTTGCGCTGTGGTGCTTGGAGTGGTGGTGATGGCGATGTCGGCGGCGGTGGTGGTGGCGTCCTCTGCGGTGATGGTCGGACTTGCGTCGGCTCTTGTGGTGGTGGCGGCGACTGCTGTGGTGTGGCTGCGGGGAAGGTGGTTGTGGTGCTGGTGAGGCGGTGGTATCGAGCTTGTCCGTCGCAGGTAGTGAAGGTCCAGGAGCTGGTGTGGCTGATGCAAGCGATGGTGATGCAGAGGGTTGGGATGCGGTAGCTGGAGGGGTCGTGCTTTGGACAGGCAATGGAGCGTCCGTGGCGGTTGTGGGGATATGTTGGAGTGGTGGTGTTGGATCTGATGGCGCCTGGTGTGGGAGTGGAGGCTGGACTGGTGGTGAGGCGCTGATGGTTTGTGGAGGTGGCGGTGGGGGTAATGGTTGGGGTGGAGGCTGTGTGACTGGGGGAAAGGCTGAGTAGGGTTGCCAAACGCCCTGGGGGATGGCGCATTGTGGGTCTGTGGACGGATGATTGGCAATCGCGGTCTGTTGCTGTGTTGGAGGGGAATGTGTCAGTGTAGTGGGGAGGAAGTTCAGCCTGTGGTGTGGGATGTAGTGGCGGCAACAGGTATGAAGGGGGAGGTGCTGCTGACGGAAATACTGGAGTTGGATGTGTGGGCTGCGGTGGCACGTGACATGGTTGCACAAACGTCCAGGTGGACGGTGTGCCGTAGGTCAGTGCAGTGGGATTGGACAAAAAAGGTGGTGGTTGAAATGGTTGTGGGTGTGGGTGAGGGTATGCCGGTGGTTGTGTCGTGGGAAAGGTAGGTGCAGTTGATGGCTGTGGCAGCGGCCATGTGGGTTGAGGTTGTGTGGTAGGTAGTGGTGTTGGCGTGGCGTGAGCGTATGGCCACGGAAAATGCATGTCGTGGTCGTAGCTATGGCACGGCGCGGCGCGGCAGCAAAAATGCAGCGGAGAAGTGCCGAGTTGTATTGTCATGATGTTGTTGAAAGTCTCATTCCTGGTGTCGATGGAGAGTATGTTGTAAGGTGGTGCTAGAGGTGAACTTGTTGGTAGGTGTGTGTTCATGCATCTCGAATTAGATTGAAGAACTCTAATGCCCAAACTTGAGTTCTGCTGATAAAAGAGTCACGGCATCGATAAGGCAAAACATGGAAACATAAACGTGACTTGAAGAAGTGAACTTGATGGATCCGAAACCTGAAAGTTGATATTCGATGTATTCTTCAGGAACCGTTTTTTGGCCCGGCGGCCGGTATGTCGGTTGATTCTGTGAGGGTGTCGGTGCCTTCCTGTGAGAGTCCAGTGAGTGGTGGTGCGTTGTGGTGGTTGCTTTCCCATGCAAAAACTGCGCCCCTGTGACGGGGATCACACTCAGCACCCGAGTGGGACGGCTGAGCGAAACACACTCTGACACTTGTATTCCGTTAATGCAAGTTCACGATGGGAAGGAAGGTGATGGAACGGTAAGGCGAAAAAGTCCGCTGAGAAGTATTGTTGAACATTGTTCACTCAAAACAGTTGCGAGACGATCAAGATGGCGGCGCAGCTGCTGGGGAAGAAGAAAGGTTTGCGGGAAGGTATCATGTGAAACCACCATGAATCAAAAAGCGGATCAGGAGGGTAACAGCTTGTGAAGCACTCTGCAGGTACATGGTTGAGCGTCCTCAACCACTTCCCTTCCAGTGACCCAGCTTCGTTGGATCAGGTTAGTCACTGGAAGCCTGATCCCCCTGCTTGCGAAAGGTGGTGGTGGAAAACCCTTTGTCCAGGGGTGGACACACACACACACATACACCCAGAATCGAGAACTGACTGGAGATGAAGTCATGTTCTCTTCAGTGGGACACTGGGAGTGGTTTGCCCTGCTGGCTTGCATGTCAAGTTGAAACCACCACGCCTCGCAGCAGGATCTTCTATGAAGAAAAAGGCCTTGTCTGAAGTCTCTCCATGGCACTCCTGGCAAATCAACCAAGAAGGACTCCTGTCTCCGTCAAGCGAGATAGATGGCATCTCCTTCCAAGGCAGCAGTGAAACGCCAAATGGTCCTGCACTGCCAGCAGTACATTTAAACAATCTCTCAATATCTTATCGACCAGCAGAAGCATCTTTGAACGCGTATCTAAGACTCTTCGGCCTGTCTCATGCGCCGCCTTCGTTGCCTGGGCTTTTTGCCCCAACTCTGAAACCATGTCGAAAAAGTCGGACAGCTCCTCCCAGCGCACATCTAAAGTCAGCTTTCTAAAACCAAATTCACAATATTCATCTCGATCTGATATCGAACGATAATGATTGTTCTGGATGTTAAAACAGTGTAAGTCTTAGTGTATGTGTGCATTCTGACCATCTCATGTTCTCTTCATGAATGTAGGTCCTGCTGCGTGGGGCAATTTTGGCAAAGCTTCACAGCATTCCTGCAAGGCGGATGGCATTTGTTGGGTTAACTTCCATGCAGCAATCACAGCCAAAGCCACAATCTCAAAAAGCAACTCAAAATAGATGTTTCGAACAGTTTTGTACCTTCCATTGCACATGTCACATCCATTTGTCGCTCGCCCACACCTCCTTGGGACTGGCTCTTCTGCAGGGACTGCTAGTGCTTCTTTGGGAAGCCGATCTTTGCATATTAGAAAGTACAAGCCTCAATTGCTCATGGGATTGAATTGGTGAATTGGGTGTGTTCTGAAGAGGGTGGGGCGTGGAGTTTTAAACAATACACTTCTACGAGGAGCTGAGGGAATAAAGCATTGAGGTGGCACACGGGCCAAAAAATTGCAATGACCAGCCACAATTTTTGGAGCAGATTAAAGAAGCCAAGTTGCAAAGCAAGGTCCATGCCAAAGGCGACCTTGGTAAATAGTACATAAATAGCCGACTTCGCTGGGCAAAGGAATCTGAAAAGGAACAAAACGAGCGCAATTTCATAATCAATGGGCCAAGTGGCAGAGACCCTTCAAATGCCTTGTTCAAGTTTTCGACTTTAGCCCATCGCTTCACCAGCAAGACCATGGGTAGAGCAACTTCTCCCTCGCGTGCAAAACAGGACTCTGCACAGCGCCATACTTCATCCACATTCAAGCAATTTCAAGTATCCTCATCCACCTTGTGGCACTCAAGCGCTACTGAGGTTCAACTACGCCGACTGCACATATTGTTGCAGGTTCTATTGGATGTTGAAAAATCTGAGCATTGCCGCTTCAATGCACCCTTACCGACCAATACTGCTCGCCAGGTTTTCTTTGGCTGGGCCATTTGCATCCAGGATTGATCATCCAAATGGGCGAAGTAGCCCTCCTGCAATGGGCACCTTCTTCGGCGACAACACACATTCTGGATCGGCCGGCTAGTCGGTCGAGTCCGGGAAACTTAGGCCAGGAACCGCGCAACCTGAGAACGCTGCAAACTCGCGGTCATGAGGCCAGCTCGCTCGAGCCGCGAACGACCATACTCGTCGTGGTCAGAATGCAATTGTCAGCACTAACCAACTTCAACCTCGCAAATTCCTACACTGATTCTGCACACACATGTACCATCAAAGCACGCCCGCTCCAACAATCTAGCACATGGCACCTGATGCCCCGAGCATTTCCTGCTTGGCCTTCTGCCCCAGTCATCCAACTCAGAGGTACAACAACCAAGTAACCCCAAAAAACCGACAGAAGCAGCCACATACAGCCAGACTAAATGTGTTTCACAAAGTACTCTGTGAGCCAGGCACCAATGCACTGGCTCCATGCGCCCACCAAAACATCCATCGACCAGCTCCAACCGACATCACCTGTTTTGCCTGTTTTGTCATCGAACAAACCCGTTTGGCCACACTCGTCAACATACGCAAATAATGGGCCCGCTCGCGCGCGCCTTTGCGCATCAAGTATGCACCCGCACCAAGATGGCGGCAGGCTGCGCTGGTCTCCGACTGAGGAAGGCCGAGACATCTCGTAGGGAAGTATCTTTGTCCGAGATGCAGCAGAGCCGGTCTGCAGTCAAGACTGCAGTGTCCCCCGCGCGCCAGGTTTTTAAAAGAAGCAAGAGATCTGGGTCCGGCCCACCAGAATGTCCATGGTAGGCCATTCGCGACAGCGCCAAATCCGCGACAGCCCGAATCCTAAAGGCTGTAGATCAATTCAGCCAGCTGTCAGCCAGCTGTCACCCAAGAACCTTTGTAGACCCCATGCGAACCCACAACCAGCAGGCACGAGGCCTCAAACGGCAATTGTCCACATGCCTCTGCAATCTTGCAACGCTCCTACTCTGTACCGCGCGCTTCCCACCCATTACATGCGAAGGATTCTCCTGCCCGGGCTGCTTTGCATATGGACCTTGTATGGCAGAACGCGTCATCAATGCTTGCATCTCCAAAGCAAAGGCGGCCTTGCCTGCTCCCTCTGCCTCTTGGATTGAAATCGGGCAAAAATGGTCACCCAGGGATGAAAGCACCAATCCCCCGAGACTTCAATCTTCTTGTGCACTAGCATGCATTTAGCAAACTTCTGGAAGACTTCTTCTGTGCTGATGGCAGAGGAGTCCTAGGAGGCATACCCCATATCGGCCAAGGCTTTTTGCACTTTCTCATCTGCATTATGCTCTTTCAGCAGAACTGCCAAGTCTGTGCTGCACTCAAAAAAGGCCAGTCAAAATCAAAATCATTTGATGCACTTTTCGGAATGCATACGTGCAACCCCAATTATTTGATCACCACTTTAGCACACAGGATGGAATCCACATCTCTAACCATGGTGCCGGTGACTCCGGACACTACATCCGTGCAACATGCATCCAAAGACATGGCTGACGTGATTTGTGGCAATCGAGTGTTCATTCTCATGATTTTGATGCGAAGGTGTTTGCGCTCATTAGAGCGCGTGCTCTCCTTGCGAGGTGGGAACAAAAGCCAGGCGAGAACGACTTGGAGCAAAACACACAAAAGTTTTGCGGCAGTGCGAAGAGAACAGTTCGCAAGTAGCAGCCCGATACTTTGTCTGCTAGGTCATACTTCAGTGGAACTTTGCTTGACAAACCATTCCACCGCACAAGTAAGAGAGTCACCGCCTGTTTCAACGACAATTCTTCAGTAGAAAACGTCCTCGGAAAACTTCAGCAAACCTTCCTAGGAGTTCACTCTCGCGACATAGAGCCACAGCGCCTCGCGTCACCTCACCTTACTTCGTTTCAGAAGCCAAGCAGGAAGGAAAGCAGCAGTAGCAGCACCACCAAGCAATCCTTAAGTCTTGAAGAACCTTTGAGACCCTGCCCTCACTCCACAGGATCATTTGCGCCAACTCGGATCACACAATTCCACTTCGCATGAGGCATCAGGCAAGCAACAAGCAAACCGGTCTAGAAAAATTAGACAGCCTGCGCAACGCGCATATTCCAGAGGACAATGGAACAAAGGTGCCATTTGCTTGGTGATTTTGTGCTGGGAAGTGTCATGCTGTAAGTGCAACGTCGTTATTGATGGTGGGCCTCTCAATTGATGCAACTCTATGTTGTAAATGATGCGTAAGGACATTATAGTTTTTGCCAGCATACGAACATGCTCTGTAGCTGGTCAGTTGCTTCAATTCATTTAACATAATTGAAAGTAAGTCCTCTTCTCACAACCTCCCAACACTGAGCCAGCCTTTGTAAGTGCTGCTCGGATCAAGCGGTCCACAAAGCCTTTCTGGACCCCTACATGATCCAGCTCACCGACAGAAATGTCCACCTCAGTCATGGCCCACTGTCTATTCGCCGTTGACATGCCCAGATCCAAAATTACATATTTTTCTCAGCACATCTCAACACCACCTTGCCTCTTGAGAGGCACATCAACATGACCTCATGTGCCTCTCGACTGTTGCGTGGGATTGTCGTCTTCACCCCAGTTTGATACCTGCTACAAATACTTCGGCAACAGATCCTTCTCAAGTTCCAACTTCTATTTCTGCGCATTCTCGCTCCTCGCCTGAAGCTCATGCTGGTGAGATTGGAAGAGAAGGATGAGAATCGGCACACGAACATGCCACTCGAAGCGTCTTTCCTGGAGTCAACCGCGAGCAACCAAGGAAGACCGGTGTCCATCATCAAATGGACAGTATTCTCACGCTGTAGGAGGCAAAAGCTTCTGGCAAGGATAAAGGTAGACAAGGTTTCTTCTCCCAAAGACTAGCTGCAGAGTCATGAGTGAAGCTGAGTTGACTCGTCGAATCCAACCCCAGTGTCCAGTGTCCTTTACTTCAAAGCTTTTGAAGCTTTTGCGCAATTCCGCTTCCAAGAATCGCAACATCTTCACCTCGTGCACAAAGGGATGCTTGCGGTGAGCACATGTTGGGCGTGTATTGAACATATCACGAACCATGGGGCATGGAATTTCTGGCTCTTAGCAGAAAGGAAAGCAGTCCGTTCTGCGATTGACCAAAAGTCGGATGTTCTTGCAGAATGCATATCTGTGATAATTTGTTGGCGACCGGTACTGGACTTTCAGACGGGAAGTAGGCGTCATAGTAAGCGAAGCAAGGAAGCTAAGAAAAAAATGGCAAAGCAACTGTTCTTCAAGGAAGCTGAAGAAGGTTCAGTGCGCTTAAAGAACCTCTGCCTTAAAGAAAAAGAAAACCGTAAGTTGGTTAAGTTGATAAAATCTAAGGAAAACGTGTGACAACTTGATAACCTGCACCTGTCTTGCGTCCAATTCAAGTTATGTACATATGCGTGCCCGCTCCCCTCTCCACGTGCCTGTTCATCATGGGTATGTCTTGTATCATACTCGCGGCTGCTGCATATGTACAGATCTAAGTCAGAACCTGCAAGATTGTAAAGCATTTCCGGTGAGGCACATTTGCTTGTTTTAGACTCTGAACCGTTACAGGATTAAGATGATGTTCGTGAAATTCATCGTGCAATATATTCACGTTCCAACGTTGAAATATGTTCATACACTTTCCAATGTCGCCTTCCAAGAATGTGCCCTGCAAGGTAGAACCAAAGCTCTTGACTGTGGTATTCGGACCGAGTGCAACTCTTGATGCCTCCTGGAAAGTGGAAATGGAAGGGCGACTTTGTGTCTCAAATTTACTGTCACCTTGCTTCTTGTAATCTGAATCTAGTGGCCTAGCAAATCTAGAATGATAAGTGTTCAGCCGCCAAAGGAAAACGGCCTTTCTATCGCCATGCGAAAGCGGGGCTCAAGGCGCCTGGTTCAGGCTAGTGGAAGTTGGGCCGCAATGGCCATCAGAGAAAGGGGCTCAGGAGCATGAGACATGAGCATGAGTGGATTGCCATGATGTTTCACATCCTTCCTCGGTACCCTTCATGTCTCCTGCTCCCTCACCAGGCTGTACTTGGCGCTCTTCATGACGCGCCTCATGAGAGTGCTGTTGCCGAGCCTCTTTGTCAGAGGGTCAGCCAGCATCTGGGGACCCGGCACCCAGAAAGTCTTGACTTTCAGCATCCTATCTGAAATGCAAATCACAGCAACATCTATTTGTGCTCTTCGGCACTGGCCAGCATTTCCGGACCGCCGGCTGAGCAAATCAAACAAAGCCTTTCCATCAGTCACATGGGCACCGGTGTCGTGGTCGATGACGCGGATGGAGGCCACGTCGTGGTCTTCACCTTCAGGTAGTCGAACCACCAGCGCCGACTCGGTGACCGAGTCGTGACCCATCCAGCACACAAGCGCTGGGGTCCAGCAGCTCGCGCCACATGGCACGAATCCATTCCACCTCCGCCATCCATCGCAAGGGCCTCCGAGCCAAGCGTGGCCTTGACCACGCGCTTCAATTTGTGGCTTCTCCATGAGTTCAGGCTGAAGTCGGCGACCTGGCCCTTCATGATGGTCTCGTGAGCCAAGGCCAAAACGAAGCCACCCTGCGATTTGTTCTCCACGTTCGCCGTGGAGGCATCTGCAACTTGCAGATGCTCTCCTCCGCAGGGATCGGCGTGATCCGGACGCAGGCATCCATCGTCTGCTTCAGCTCTGCGACCGTCTTGTTGGCCATCAGGATGTGCTCCACAGTCGGGCCTGTCGACGGCCAGGACATGGACATGGCGCAAGCTGCGCCGACATCAGGTCTGCCCTCCTTGCCAACCCACAACAGTGAGCCGCCTACGCCCCGAAGCCATGAGATCTCCTTCTCATCGAGCAGCTCTTGCTTCTGCTTCATCCGCTCTTTGGTGAGCATCGAGTGTCACAGGGCGAAGCTTTTCCTGGATGTATCTCTTCATGCTCACTTGGATCTCGAAAGAGGGAAGCTGGTGCAATGTCCTGCCAATGTAGTCGGCCGAACTGTCATAGACATCCTTCCATTTGCCGAACTTGAGCTGGGTGCGAAGCTGGCTCATGAGCTCTTGGTGACGTTCATTGCCACCTTGACAAAAATCATCCACATCTAACAACACAATGCCAGACACAAACAGCTTTCGGTCGGACATCTCCTCCTCCGTGGGCTTGAGGTAGTACAAGCAAGGGTCGAAGACGCTCTCTTCATATCCCAGGGCCAGCAGCTTTCGCCTGACAGTTCGTCGCCAGACAGCTGGTGCATTCACAAGGCCATACACTGCAGTAAGCACTCGGATGAGTGACTGTTGGCCTTAGCCCGGGATGCCACTTGGAGGCATGGATGCATAGAGTGGTCCTTGTTCACGCTCGACTGGATCACTCTGGCCAAAGGCTGAGCTGACGTCCACGATGAACAGGTGGAACTGCAGGGATGACAAGATCTGCAGTGCCAGCGTCACAGTGGTGCTCGAAGGTGTTGGTGCAAAACGCTCCAACTGTAGGCTGTCCGGGTCTCGATGACCCAAGAGGATCCAGCGCGCTTTGGCTTTCCACTGTTCGCCACCCTCACCGGTCTTCTTGGTAATGATGAACCGGCTAGGCATGATGCGGTGGCTGTACTTGTCATGCACCCATCTGATCTGCTCCTGGTCGGTGATCATCTCAATTGCATTGGGGCCAACCAGGTTGTCAATCTCCTTGGTCTTGGCTTCGGTGAAGAGCTTTCGTTCAACATCATTCAACTTCTTCTCATTGAGCTCTTTGCCACTTTGCTTTGTGAGATAGGACAGCGAACTCTCCTCCTGGAGGTATTGGTTGTAGTAGGTGTCGTTCTTGGTCACCTTGGTGAAGACCTGCAGGTCTTGTTGGTTGGCAACCGCGGGAAAGTTGGCTCTGCTGCCCCACTCAGTGACATCATCTGCGCGCCAAGACCAAAGATTTGTGAGCGCTGAGGTGCCCGCTGATCCGTGGTTGGTCCATCCAGGCTGCGCTTCATGCCAATGTCCACAGGTCGGGCATCTTCTTCAGGAGCCTCTGGTGGATCAATGACTTCATTTGGGCCATAGAGGGGTTCTTTGCAGTCCTCACCCGGATCAGGGTGATCTGGAGATCAGGACGGTGAGGATGTTGATCACTCCCTCAGGCAACTTGTCATGTGCCCAGTGAATCGGCATCTCTGGTGTGACTGGAATGTCCTGGATCTTTCGGTTCGCGTCAATGTCATAGGTGACTCGGCGAACCACATCATTCCAGAGGGGGCCTTTGCTGTTGGAGCCACGGTAGCGCTTGGCACTGAAGTCATGGCGCTTCCACATCTTGAGAACTTCTGGATGAGCTTGGGATGGCTCGGAAACATCATCTCTTCGAGCCTTCTGATTCTCGAGCGAAGCTCTCCAGAGTTCATCACCCTCAGTCTCTTCTTCTGCTGCCGCTTGTTTGTTTTCTGCAGCTGCCGCGGTGTCTGCTGATGCTTGTTTGCTTGCTGTTGCAGGATCTGCTGATCTCGATTGTACTTCTTGATGTTCTGCCGGGTCAGGTGTTGTGACTTTCTTCACAGCTGCTCGTGGTGGCGCTGCTTGCGCAGGGGTGCAGGTGTGCCAGGAGGTGGTGTTCCTGGTGCTGGTACAGGCGTCGAAGGATTGGGTGTTCTCAACTCGAGGTGTTCCTGGGACCTTCCGGTACACAGTGCGTGGGTCAAGAACTGCTTGCCGTGCATATGGCCGCGCAGGTGGCCGCGCTGCTGCTGCTTGTGCTGCAGGTGTTGGTGGCGCCTGTCGTGGAGCCTACTCAATGATCTCAAGATCATCTGGAGGGTCGCCCCTTCGTGACATCTGCGTAGCCCAGTTTCTCCGGGTGGAATCTCAGCTTCTCCTTGGCCTTCAGGAGGTCTGCCTCGATGACTTCAAGGCCTTGCTTCTCCAGGTTGCCCATCTCAAACACCTGGCTCTTATTGCACTTCCAAAGCTCTCCACGGCGCGTCACCCAAACGGTGTCACCGCGCTGCAGGGTGACAAAGCGCGGTCCCACCTTGGCCACATTGCCACGTCGACCCTGTCGCCAGACTGACACGGGATCACCTTCTTTGAAATGGTGATCTTCACGGGCCTTCCGGGGTCTTGCTCGAATGGCTCTTTGAACTCTCTCCTTGGCATCGGTGTCCATCTCAGGGCTTGTCGTGCAGCCTTGCGAAGCTCCTCGGAGCGGGCCCAGGCATCATCTTGTGTCATGCTGTACTCATACTGCCTGACTTCACTGAGAAGGTCAAGTCCGAGGCTGGGCTGCTTGGCGAAGACTCTTTGAGCTGGAGAGTAGCCAGACCTGTTTGTCATGGTCTGCATGGCCCAAGAGACCTCGTGGATCACGTCCTGCGCTTCTTCAATGGTGGCAGGTTGTTTGAGTTCACGGGTGCGGTAGTACACCTCCTTGAACAAGCCGCCTGTTCTTTCTGTCACCCCATTCTGATATGGAGCATCTCGATCAATCAGCAATGGCTGGATGCCATGAGATTCCAACATCATGATGAAGTGCCCCTGGAACTCAAGACCTTGGTCCATCAAGATGAAGGCCGGTGCGCCAAAAGTTCGGAGCCATATGGAGAGGAACTTGCTCCACACCAATTCTGAACTCCTCCGGGTCGGATGCACCATGCTGAAGGTGGAGTAGAGAGTTCCAAGGCATGTGACATTCAGGACCGGATGCTTGTGGGTGTGACTGATGCCATGCGCAAGCAACAAATCAGTTCCCGGCGCCACATTGAAGACGTAGGTGCGAGGTGTTGAGGCAGGAAGTCGTGTGAGCTGCCTCTTCTCTTTGAGGCATCCTTCGCAGGTGAACTCTTTGAGCTGACATACTGAATCACATCGTTGCGGCTGCCGGCGGCTTTGAGAAGTCTCACAAATTCCTTCACTCCAGGGTGCCCCAAGTTGACATGAGCACGGAGGATCATTTGCTTCTCAGCGCCGGTCAAAGTTGAAGACTCGGCAAAACTCCAGTTCAGCTCTGGGTGAGTGTAGAGGACCACCACAAAGGGATAGGAGACCTCAAAAGGAGAAATCTTCCCAGAGCTACTCTGTTCCAGTTGAATCCACTTGCCATCTAGCACTCCCTTCACCCAAGTCCAGCGCAAACATCGGCGGTCGGGACCTTGTAGTGGAACTTGGTGACAACATCGTCGTTGAAATTTCGCCACTGCTGCCATTCTCGTGGACGGAGTTCATCGACCCATTGGTTGAAGTCACCAACATCAGGAAGATGCTTGGGTCGGCCTTTCTGCGTGTCCATCGATGATGGCTCTCACCGTGCCGGAGGGTATTCTTGAGCACGATGAGGTAGCCCTCCAATCAAGGCTTCATGCTGCTTGCAATTGCACAGTCGCTGGAGATTGATGGCGATCGTGTCATTGGTGGTCGCAAAGAGTGTCGACTTGCGATTCAAGCCACCGTCTCCCACTTGTAAGCCAAAACGGCACAGGTGATTCTGGACCTTGGGGAGCAACCATGATGTTGCTGTGTCTGGGCGCTCATGCAGTCCATCTCCTCCTCGCAACAGCTGCTCCTCCTGCATGTCCATTGAGAAGTTGAGGTGTCTCTTAGCTTCTGGCAACTCCTCAGTCAAACGCTCCGGGCGCTGACGGATGTTCTGGAGCGGAGAGAACTTCGTGCAGGGAGGAGTAGTGGTCAGCAGGCGAGGTCGTCGCCTTCTCAACTCCTGTCGAACCCATTCTTGTTGGTCCTTATGGTCCATGTCGAAGCTGGTGAGGAGGTCCACAGACAAGCTGGCTTTCAATCCTCTTTTCTGGCTTCTTCCACAAGTCGTGGAGGACTGTAGAGCTCGACAACGGAGTCGTTCTCTTCAGAGAGGCCACCGTAGGTTTGGGCAATGTCGTCTGGTTCATCAAGTTGCTTTTCTCAAAGGGTCCAATAGGCTTCCTGGCCTCCAAGTAAGTCATCCAGACTTCTCATTAATTTCGCCCTTTGTCGACTTTGCCAGGGTGGTCTCATTCTCATAGAGCTCGGAGTCGGTCAGGTACTCCAAGAATTCAGGCATGAACTCGTAGAGGATCAAGCATGGAGTTTCCATTCCAAGGTTGTAGTCCTCACCAGGCACCTGGGATACATGAACTGCGTTCCAGTGATCATCGCTCTTGGTCAAAATGACCTTTCGGCTAAGGAAGGCTCTGGTGATGATTGGCGAAACTCCGCGGACACATTCACCACGAAATGTGGTTACATAGGTCGCCGCTTGATCCAAGTCCAAAGTGGACATCACCTTCTGGAAGCGACTGTCGTCGTGCAGGGAAGTCATCTGCGACATCCAACCAGCTAGTCGTTGCGCAGGAGGTTGATGTTGAATCTCCCCATCTTGGCATAGGCCGGCGGCATTTCGAAGAGGAAGGCTGCCAGGCCGCATCGTTCTTCCACGCGTTGAATCTCCACATCCTGTGGATTCGGGGAGTCGTTGATCGCCATCATCTCCTTGCTGTTGCAGCGTGGGCAGATCATCGTGCCATACGCTGGTTGGACATGGTCGTTCAGGTCGCCCCAGTGGCGCTCGCATCTCACGTTGTCGCACTTCCACAGGAGGTTCATCGAAGGGATGCGGCGGTTCAGGGTGATCATCATGCCCACGTGGCACACATCGCAGGACTGAGAATGAGCCTGCTGCTGAATCTCCACCATCGCCACGTCCTGGTCGCCGATCATCGCTGCTTTCTGCCCCATCTGCAGCAGTTCGTCTCCCACCGCATCGCACCATGAGTTCTGGTCCTCCTTGATCTCGTCCATCTCCTGCTTGACTACAGGTGGTCGGGCTTTGGACTTGTAGGCCGTCGCCTTGGAGGAACTCTTCGGGGCGCTCATCATCAAAGAACTGGTGGAGGATATCGAACTCGGTGACTGGACTGTCACGCTGCTGGAGGCAGGACTTCTGCCTTATGTCGTAGAAGACGTCCGGGATGTAGACCAGGTTCTGGTTCCAGTCGCGCAGCTCCGTGATCGGGGTCAAGGGCATGATCTGCTTCTGTTGGCGCTGATTGCATTCCTGATAGGAAAGAACTCGGTTCGCTCCGCGCTTCACTTCGGCCTCCGGGTGAGAGCACGCCGGAGAGGGTTCCAAGGCCGGAACCAAGAAGCGTCCTTTGCCCTTCACCATGGCCAGTGGGCGAACTCGTTCCTCCCGTCGTGCCACAGACATAGATCCCGAGAGGGCTGAGGGCTGCGTGACTCGAGCCTGTGCTAGAACTCGCTGCTCCTCCTGGGCCAGCTGCAGTGCCTGATGCTCCAAGTGTTGTCGTCGTTGCTGGAGCCAGCGGACTTCTCGCAGTTGGGGAGTTCGAACCACTTCCTGCGCCACTTGCCAGGCCTGCTGGGAGACCGATAGCAGTAAGCGCAGCAACAAGCGCCGCCAACAGCACCATAGCAGCTGAGCACTGCGACAGGGCATCCAGCGTAGCCCAGTCGGGAACGGGCTCCACCGACCAAGCTTGGCTGGAACTTATCCATGATGGAAACTGAAACGTGGCCAGATGACAATCTTCTCATGTTTTGACTTGTAGCTAGCTTTGTATACCAAATCACAGCATGCTCCATGTCAATGACTGCACCGACGCTCGTGAGAAAATAGGCAAGAATGAGGAAAGGTATAATTCCGCTGACCACCTGAACACGAAGTACACCAGATTTGCCCCCAAGACCGATTGGCACATAGGCGATGGATGTGGTTTCCTCTTTCCTGCAACACCTCGAACGCTACCTCCGGCTTCGTGCGACCATTGAACTCTCAAATGAAACCGATCTTGAAGGAGGGTGTCATGTTGTTCGAGGGTTTCACGACCAACCAATCCATGTTGAGCTGCTGTATCAACCAATGCTGTGCCCTGTTCTTCATGAACTGCTAAGAAAACAAAGGAGAGGCCAGTGAACTCGGCCGCAATGTATTCGCTCTTGGTTTCAAGCTCAGGGGTGGTCGTGAGAAAGGTACCAGCCAGTTTGGCTGGTGGCTGAGTGAAAAGCCGGTACTCATGCCGGCGCTCATGGCGCCAGTCGAACTCGAACTCCTCGAGGTCGGTGAAGTGGTCTTGGCCCGATGTGGGCATTCTTTGCTCCAATGGCCCACTTGCTTACAAGTGTGGCAACGTGTCTTGGCCTTGAGGTCGTTCAAGCTCATGCTGGATCCATTTCGTGTCCACGCACAGCCACGGCCATTTCGGCTTGCCTGCAAAAAGGCGTCTGTGCTCCAAGTAGCCGCCACCTTTGCCAGAGCCAAAGTTCGGCGCGCCCTGGCCATAGGTCTGTGATGGACTCTTACCTTTCCCACCTTTCTTTCCTTTGTAGCCCTTGCCCTTGCCTTTGATGCGGCGCTGCGTCTCGTAGTAGATCTCTTCAATCTGGAGGGACACCGCTTCGAGGGCATCAGCTTCATCCATGATGACGGGCAACTCATCTTGGAAGACCATTTGGGCCTCATCGTTCTCATTCATGCAGATCAGGTCCTCGAAGGGGTCAAGAACCTCAGTTTCGACGTCCTCATAGTCCTCATCTTCCCATTCACCATCTTCACCATCTTCCCAATAGGTGGCACTGCGCCAACGTCGGGGCTGAGGACCATGCTCATGCTGCAGCTTATCAAGACGGTCACCAAAAACCTTCTGAATGGCCATCTCGATCTCCGGAAGTCGATTGACCCATTGGTCACAACTTTCAGCCTCTGTCGTTGATCCTGGCTGAACAATCCCTGGCGAAGGATCAAGTGGCCAAGGAGGTGCCGTCCAGCCGGAGTTGCTAGGAGATCGAGGCCTTGTTTTCTCAACTCAGCAAACGCCGCCTTCTCGTCGACCTCGAAAGATGGCTTCATCGAAAGCCTGCTCCAGTCTCTGATCCTTGAGGTACTCATGGGCGTCCTCAATGAGTTGCACAATGGCCTTGTGCCCGGTGTCCGAGCAGATCTCCTCCACCGTCAGGTGGGCCACTAAGGAGCTCAAACGTGAGCCAATTGGGATCGCATCAATGATCCTCTTCCCAATCAAATTCAATGGAAGCCGTGCCTCGGCCTCCACCAACCACAGCTGCAAATTTCTCTGGTACTCCTTGAACTGTTTCTCAGGCATCTCACCGCCCCAGCTTGGCGCTGGGTCCAGGCGGTAATCCATCGCGGCCATCACGACCGGAGTTCGGAGTGTGCGGCTGTGAAGGAATCGAGGTGGCGTCGTGGCCAACCTTGGTGGGTCAGACAATGCTCGGCTCCAAGGGTCATCAGGAGGTCCTGAATCAACGGGATGAGATTCTCCCGAAGGTCGTTGGGGACTTTGAGATGGCATGGGTGTAGCCGAAGGTGGAGAGGGGGTTGTACCCGAGGGATTCCCTGATGAAGTGGCTCCAACTCCACGCCAAGTCCTCGCAGCTTCCCAGCGCGCTCTGGTAATCGATGGGCTCTATGATGTAGATCTTCCCCAGTCCCTGGGTAGAACCACCGCCAGAACGCGCCGACAACGATGTCAAACGGCCGGGGGGCCCGAGGAGCGTCCAAACACGTTCTTGCGGGAGCCCCAGTCGTCACCGGGGCTCCGCTACCACTGTTCAGCCGCCAAAGGAAAACGGCCTTTCTATCTATCGCCATGCGAAAGCGGGGCTCAAGGCGCCTGGTTCAGGCGAGTGGAAGTTGGGCCGCAATGGCCACCAGAGAAAGGGGCTCAGGAGCATGAGACGTGAGCATGAGTGGATTGCCATGATGTTTCACAATAAGAGTTCAAACATGAACAGCCTAGAATCCTATCCAAGGCCCAATCAAACTGACCCCACATGGCCAGTCCTCAACTTGCCTCTCAGCTTCACGTACCATCTGTTCAAAGGATTCACTCGGCAGCAAGCTGCGGAGCGTGCGTCCCAACGAGCTTAGGCCCTGCGACGAGGCTGAAATGATCCAACGTTTGAAAGGAGCACTAGCGCTTAGAACTTGAAGGCCCATCAATCACAAACCAACCCGCAGAGTCTTTGAGTACATATCGAAACAAGGATTCTACGTACATCGACCATCTTTCAGTACATCATGCAATTGCAGCTGCCTGGTCTGATCCAGCATTAGGCAGCTGCGCGTCCTGCGTGCTGACATGGTGCACTGGATTGTAGAAAAGTGAGTCGGGTCAACTTCATTCATCAACCAACCTTGATGTCAGAAATGTTCTTTGGTACACTTACAGATGACGCGCAGTGTGGGAGTAATTAGATATACACGTTGCCAGCACTCAAGGACACTCACGGACACTCAAGTCCTTGAGTGTCTGGTCTATGATTTTCTCAAGGATGTCCTTGAGTGTCCTTGAGTGTCTGGCTATGATTTTCTCAAGGGTGTCCCTGAGTGTGTTCTTGAGTGTCTGGTCCGTGGATTTTCTCAAAGATGTCCTTGAGCGTCCATGATTTTCTCCAGGATGTCCTTGAGTGTCTTTGATTGTCGGTCCATGGTTTTCTCCCAGGAGGCCGGTGCTGCGCCATCGGCAAGGCATCGATGCACACTTCAAAATTGGCGTTGCGGATCATGCAACGTGCTCTTTTGCAAATCAACACGTGGCTTGCGAGTCTTTGAAAAAGAAAGCTAACCGCGCAAATGCCAAGCACACTATATAGACAGTATACACGCCCTATGGAAAAAACGTTTTGAGTGAAACAATACACGTGGAAACCGTTTCTTTGTTTCAGCGTCAACGGAACAGCGGTCATGTCATATCCTCTCAACGCATGTGCTGTACGTACTCCCGCTCACGTGTGAAAACAAGCAACTTGTAATCTTAAAAGCGCAACGGGAACTGGCTCTCGGCACTTGGGCTTTGCTTTGCAGTAGCACGCCCTTCCGGAAACTATTTGTGGGTGGGTGGGTGATGCAACAAATTTGTAGACTCAATTTGCACACTGACGCCTCAAAAAGGCAAAGTGACAGCTCTAATCACTTATGTTTTTCGCTTGGCTTCAGCGCACGCTCTCAAAGACGTTGCAAGTTTGGTGGGTGGGAGGGCATGTTATCAGCCATGTAGATGCCACTTGCATCTTGACTAGCGGCTGGGAGGTCTAGAGGGTGACCATTGCACAAAATCTATGCGCCTTGTATGTATCTTGGGCCATCTGAGCAAAAAAAAGTGTGCGATGTACACTTTTTGCTTCTGCCTTGGCGTACTGGTCAAGGATGTCCCTGAGTGTCCCTGAGTGTCCTTATGCCCGGCCTATGATTTTCTCAACGATGTCCTTGAGCGTCCCTGAGTCTGAGTGTCCTTGAGCGTCGAGTGTCTTTGAGTGTCCTTGAGCGTCTGATCTATGATTTTCTCAAGGGTGTCCTTGAGTGTCCTTGAGTGTCCGGAGGCAAATGCGTTTCTAGGAAACGCCGCGCTGCAGGCGCTGCTCTTTTGGCCGCATGCCCTGGAAGTTCCCGCTGCACTGTGTCGGCAAGGGCACGCAAATGATTGCTGGAGCATCTACACTGCAATGTCTGGGGGTGAGCCACTGGTCTGGGCAGCTTACGTAAGCCGATCCGCGCTCGTTCCCCGACATACTCGGAACGATTGCCATCAAAAGCTCCTGGTATAAGAACACCATCGAGGCGAGCCACATGCTCTTGGCAGAGCCCATACAAATAGAACTGCGTCCGCAGCACATCCAGGGTCGTGACATGCTTGGCGGTCGCGTCATCGTCGCCACCAGCGATCACGGTTATGGTCCCAAACGCAGAAACCACGACGGTCCCACAGTGCTCTGCAAAGAGTTGCCCGACGAAGGTAAAGAAGTGCTCGGTGTTGTTCCCTGCGCTACGTCGCAGACCCAGCCCATGCGTGCACGCCCCCAAAGTCAACTGGCGGGAAAAAGTCAAGCGCCTGTGGGCGACAGCAACAATGTAGGGTCTCTCTGTTTGGCAGCGGCTTGAAGGGTCGTCAGCTGCAGGGTGGTGGCTACCATGGGTGCGCAAGGCGCCGCCAGGAGTTAGCGCAACCATGGACAGTAGGGCTTGAGGTCCTGGTAGTTTCCGCACATAGTTGGCGAGGATGTGCACAGCGGTTGTGTCCAGGTTTTGCTGCAGCAAACTTCCGGAAGAGACAATCGCCAACATACAGTAAAACCGATAGGGGCTAACCCAAAATACTTGTGGAAACGCACAAAAAAAAGCAAAAAAATAAAGCAAAAAAATGCAAATACAAAGCAAAAAATGCAAAGGCAAAGACCAGAACGTTTTTGATCGCAATTTTTGCCTTTTGATTGCATTTGTTTTGCATCTTTTGTGCATTTTTGTTGCTTTTTTGGTGCCTTTGTTGTGCATGGTTTTTGCATTTTTTGGTGCGTTTTTTTGCGTTTGTTTAGTGGACAAATGCATTTGTTTCGCAATTTTTTGCGTGTTTTTTGCATTCCAAGGCATCCTTTACTTGTTTTTGCGTTTTCTGTGCATTTTTTCGGGATTGGTTTTACATTATTTTTGCATTGTTTCTGCATTTTTTCCCGAAAGCATTGCGAAGGGTTCTTCCGGAAAATCCCTTGAACACTGACACTTCGACACTTACACTTACACACTGACACTTCCACACTTGCACTTGAACACTGACATTTCTACACTTACACTTGAACACTTACGCTTCCACACTGACACTTGAACACTTACACGTCTATACGTATCCCAGTGTAAGGGTAAAAAGCATCCAAGGGCAAGTATGCAAGTGTAAGTATCCAAGTGCAAAAGTATGCAAGTGTATTAAGTATCCCAGCGCAATCCCAGTGCAACTATGCAAGTATGAGTATGGAAAACTTGCACGGGAGATGTCCTAATGAAAAACATTTCCCCACTCTATAAATTCTCTCTTAAAAGGCGGAGGGTGGGACGAACAGCGTCAACCGAAAATGTAATCCTCTGCGGAGATCGCGCGTGTCGAGCGCACGAAATGCAGGCGAGAGTGCGATTGGAACGGTCCGCGCGCAACCCTGTGCGGAGATCGTGCGTGTCGAGCGCGCGAAATGCAGGCGAGAGTGCGATTTGTCCGGTGCGCGCGCAACCGTCTGCGGAGATCGTGCGTGTCGAGTGCGCGAAATGCAGGCGAGAGTGCGATTTGTCCCATG